TACCGTAGATATGAAGGATAGAACATTTTTCATATAGGGATGTTGCTATAAACTAGATTCAGCAGTATTTCCTTTTATTTTATATCTTAATTTCTTTGGCTTACTGTTTCTTACTCCTTTTCTGTACTTCAAATAATGCCTTTTACCCTGAAAGAATTAACATGATGGTTTTATACGCATGAGTGTGTATATGTGTTACTTCTTAAGAGACAACATAATTTATAAAAATACTAAAATTTTCAGTGCTAATGTTTTTCCTAAAATTTTAACAACGCATTGGAAGTGCATGCTATTCAGTTACCAAGTTTTTACAATAATTTCCAAGTAGAGATTTATATAAATGTAATAAATACAATACATTAATTCAATATAATAGATTCCTCATAAATATTTCAGTTCAGCTATTTTTGGTTCCCAGAAATTTTTGAATATTTATACAATACAGAAAACTAAATAAAACATGAACTATATATTAATGCATCCCATATCAAAAAGCAAGTCTGGAAAAAAAATACTATTGCTCCTTCCTATTCCATCAAGCATTTTATTATTTCAGAGATGAAACAAAAAAATTGCTAGACAGATTAAAAATCAAAGTTCTATACACATGGGAAATTATTTTATTGTATTTCATTAAGCAACTCCTTAATGCCACATCAACTAAGGTTGTATTCCTACACATGCATTTTTGGTAGTTTAGCCTTATTAAACTCAGTGGAATTTACATCTGAACAAATATGCACAGGATCATTTTATAAGCCTATCTGTTCCTCAGAAGCCATATATATCAATTGTCACTATGAAGCATCTAGTAACATATTGCCAGGCAAAAGTCCTATCAAAAATACAAAATAGTAAGCATGCAATTGTTCCACCAGGAAAAGTTTCCTCACAGAATTTTACAAAGCTAAAGGCTCAGGGCAACAAAGTAAGGCTAAACTATTTGAAGATAAAGGACAGAATTAATTGTTCTGGGAATTTGGCAGTCTGCAAAGACAGAATTACCAGAAAGACAGTACTAGACTAAAGCATACCAAACGTATTTGCAGAAAGAAAATGACCAAATGATTTTTACAGAACTTTGTTTAACTCTTTCCAAGAAAACACATACAACAAGAACCTCAGTAAGTTCTTGGCCTGCAAAGTTTAGGTTCAACATATTTGCTAAAGTCATAAAAAGTATAAAGAATTTTTAATTCATCCATAATGCACAGAAAACGTTTGATCCATCCAAACAATAAAAATGATGTCCCAACAGGAAAGCAGAGATCCTGTCTAGGACTTCTTTTTGCCATAAAGTACAAATTTTATTCATTTGTAGTCTTAACTAAATGGGAATTAAAAGCATATTACTAAAGTCTTAGATCACTTTCTTCTTGCTGAATAGGACTCACAGTCTCCTCATTCATTTAGCAAGATCCTCTTTTCCAAAATCCAAATTACCAACCACCCCTCTTCCTAGCTTTAACTGAGTCCCTGCAAATTCACCATATTCTCCATAGTGAGGGGAGAAGTATCCAGGATGGGTTGACCTTGTCCTCTCTTGATTGGACTGAGTCGGATAAGCTCTTTTAGCCATGCCTGGGTCACCAGGATCCACCCAGTTATCGACTCAGTCCATCAACGGAGGGCTGTGTTCATCCTGAGATCCTGAGGAAACTTAAAGGAAAAATTTTAAATTGCTGTAAAAGCGATCGAAATTGCCTCCACACTGCCTGATCAATCACTAGAGGCTGAGGAAAC